AGACAACCAGAATCTCAAGGTTTAGGATGTCAAACCCTCATTTTTTTATTTTAAAAATCTGTTAAAATCAATTTTTTTTTTCTCCACTTAAAATTGAACTATTTTAATTGCTATCCTGTATAATCCAAATAAAATGTATGACTTTGTTTTCTACAAGATGCATTTCAAAAGGTTTGGGCAGAATAAATACTTAATTCATGAATCTTCAATTGTTGATTCAAATTTATGTTTTTAATAATTTACTAGAGTTGGAAAAAAAAGAAAAAAAAAAGGATGGCAAATGACAAATTAGGCCCAGGCAAAAAAATGTATTCAATGAATTAATTAACTTTTTTTTTAAACGGGCGTTTATATAAAAAAAAAAAGAAAAAAAAAAGGAAATAGATTTTTTTGTATAACGCCGCAATTTTGGCTCTCCGGAGCTTCCATAGGTGGAGTATTACTCCCACGTTGTAGTTCAGCAAGCGAAATCATAGCTACCGAGGAGAGTGGGGGATTATTCTTGAAAAAGGAATAAAATCATCCGTTGTTTGGAACTGGTCTGAGTTTGCTGGTAGAGTTTGCTGGTGGTATTTCTAAGGATGCATAACATGTCTATTGTGGAAAAAATTATTTTCATTTGTACTGCTGTTTGTTTGTCTTAATGTGCACAATAATAAGTAGAGGAAAGAAAAAAAAAAGGCGTATAATCAAGCTGGTGAGCATCTCGGGTGAAGTGGATGTACCTGCAGTTTACAGAGGAACCTGTGGATGGCGTCCTTGCCCACAGTGCTGATCTTGCTCCGGTCTAGTGTGATCCGTGCGTCGGGCTTGCCGTCCTGCCCCGTTACCTCCTCCAAGCCCACCAGACTTTCTCCCGCCTCCAGCAGGACGCGCAGGATGACGAATCTCGCCTGCATGTGAGCCTGGAGCAGACAGGTGAACGGTAACAGACTGGAGGCATCTCCAGACAATCATATAAGCACGCTGTCTGACTTAACGCAAACAAAGCGTAAAACATCACAGACTCTGCAAACTAATCATAGGAAGAATGTGTGAAATGATGTGCAACACTACTTAACATATAAACACCACATATATCACAGCCTGACAAAAGTAAAGCATCTCCAGCTATGTGTCAGGTAGATGGATCACCTGTCTCCAGCTTTTGCTCTCAGGCGTATAAAACTCCAGACCCAACAGCCCAGCTCTGACCATGCTCAGCCAGTTGGCGTAAACCACATCCTCAGCATCCTGACCTTCATGGCCGAAAATACTGTGACAGAAAACATACAGGTAACGGTTACCATGGCAGCCTCCCTCAGTGGGATCAGCCACCAAAAAGACTAAGATAAACAGAAATAATACAGGTTAAGAAGTTTTGTACAATGAATCATTTCAAATAGGTTAGAAGTAACTTCAGATTCTTATATTTTAGAAAATAAATCATCCACTTGTTCTCAGAGTCTGGTTCTACAACCATTTAAAATGCTACCTAAGGTGATCAAATCACTTAAAAAGAATTTAAGGATTATATCTGCTCTATTCAAACAAGCCAATCCTTTTCAGTCTGTTAATTTTAACATTAGGAACAAGCTGACTGAGGCCTGATGAGTCACAGATGGGGCTATTGTTTCTTTTGGCCATTTTGTCCTTAACCTGGCAGAAAATTTGGAGGTTCATCTGTTTCAGGGTAGCCTAGCAACAGTGTTGGATGCTCTCCCTGTGTGAACAATATTGGAGAGAAGATAGGGGCTTTAAATAGTCTATTAATTACGATAAACCCCTTCAGTAAATGATGGCTTCTCTAAATTGTAGAGAATGAATTGATTGGAAGCACCTTACTTACTCCCCAAAATTAAAATAACCAAAAATTGAAAAAGCGGAACTTTTTTTTTCTCCTTGACTACAACTCTAACGTCAATGTTTCTTTACTTTTAGGACTAATTCAAGTATTTCCAACAGAAATATGTCCATTTACATCCCATTTTTTAGACTACCCACCTCAACACTTGCTTGTTCAGACACAGATAGAGCCCAACACATTCTGCTCGGCATTCTTCATAGGAAGAAGCAATCGTGGAGAATTTACTGTCCCACGTCTCGCTGCCACGATACCAACTTGACACCTGTTAGGTAATCAGACATCTTTATTTGTCATGTGCAAACCATAGTTATTACTGAGTGTCATTATATGGGCAGAGATCCCAGCCCATCAGAGTGAAACTAACCTTTTCTCCCGTCTCTGGGTTCACCACCTTACTCTGATCGAAGTTGAACTTGCCGTGGTCGTCCTTAAAGAGTTAGTTAGGAAGGACAGTCAGTTTATTCATTTCCTACACATAAGTATCTCAAATTTCTCTGAAAAACAAACTAGAGAGGAGAAAATAGTCGCACAAGTTTTTGACTGACCTGGACAAATAGCTTTCCACTTCCATGACCCAGGAGCTCATGCAGACCGACCTGCACCTCGAAGGATGGCCCCTTCCATTTGATAAACAAATCCTGAGGCAAAAAAAATAACATGTATATCATCTGACCTTACTTAGGTAAACCTTTGGGCATAGAGCATAATTAGGCTGCTACCTTATCCTTCTCTTCCAAGAAGGTGAGTTTTTCTTTCTGTGTGGCGTAGGCTACAGCCAGCACATTCCCTAGGGACACGTTCTTAAAGCCCTCTGACTGCCTGATGTCATCATCTACATAAAAACAAAAAATACAATCAATGCTTAAAAAAAAAAAAAAGAAGGAAAAACTGAGCAGCAGAACCAGGTTGAAGTTTGACTCCCTGTGGACCTACAATTTGGGATGTTAATCCCAGCTGGAATTCCACTGCCAGCGAACGTTAAAACATCCAGGGAAGTAAAGTCTGGTTTAAGGAAGGTGTCCTTCTCAAAGTCCTGGGGCCAGGGTAGCTCAGGCAGCAGGACTTCTGCTGAGCTGACCAACTTGGCAAAACGCTCGCTCATTGCCTTGTTCACCACGGCAACGAACCCTGAAAGGAAGGTCACAACCCAAAGGTAAAAAAAACGACGCATTTTCATAGATGGAACAGCAGCTTCTGTTAGGTTCTACAAAGCTAGAGATGCACCGATCAAGTTTTTTTTGAGCTGAGCATATGGGTGAGAGATACCAATCTAATTCCACTGCTGAATGAACCAAATGTCCAATCCAGGTATTGGATTGGTGCATCTTTATGCAAAGCATTACTGCAACATATGTGGAAATGCACTGAACCTAAATAAATGAGCATTTAGACTACAGATAGGGAATACAAACTTTGTCTGGTTTGAGGCAGGAATGATCAGACAAAATCAAACTTTTTAGTCCAACGATTTTAATGAACTGCTTTATGGTAAGTATTTTCAGTGAAACAATATTTTGACCGGCTGATTACGAGGCATGTTTTAGGTGACATCGGTTCACCAGCAGTAAGATCATTTTTGGCTTCCTGCTAAAATGCCGCCTTCAACCAGAATCAGAGCTCTGCAGTCTTTGCGTTACATTTTACTTTCTTTTATGCAGCCCCTTGAGCTCAATGTTAAAAATGTTTAAAGGAGCAGGACCATTTATACTTTGCTGTTTTAACTTTTAATTCTACATTTTTACTCTTGTACCATGAATACCAGTGTACAAAAATAGAGTTCTTCAAAATGTATGTGGCTAAGACTGCCCAAACATTGCAAATAAAGTAAATTCCAATCAAGATTGATTATTGTTGTCTTTATACTAAAGAATAGGGCTGGGTATTTTCGCCAAAGTCCTGAATCAATTCGATTTTGATTCATAAAGTTCTAAATTGATTAATTTTTGTTTTTACAATAATGAAAGTGGTTCAACTGTGTTTTAAAATACTCATGTATTTTGTTTTTTTTCCTGTCACGTTAAACACAATCAGACAGTTTAAACATGAGATGTGAACAAAACTGTCTCATAAGTGCAAACTTGTTTGCGAAAAGTGAAGCCTCACTCAAGCAAGCAGACGAGACACAGCAGACAATTCATGAGCTGCATTATCTCCACTGCACAAACCATATTTGCAGCGTTGTCTGTAACAACTACAGGGCGTTTTCTGGTCAGCCCCCATTTGTTAATGTCTTCAGTCAAACCTATTGGGTATATTTGCAGCTGTCTGGCTTGAAGTAATCTTGAGTGCATCTTTCCTGCTTATGAAATTAATCGATCTCATTTCCTAGACATGAAGCAGGTGACAGCCGCTCGTTTCTTCACAAATTTTGTCATTTTTTGTCAAAGTTCGCAGTGTATTAAAAGGAGCTGTCCCCACCAGGGTACATTTTTTGCCTCCTCTGACACTATTAAATATTTTTTGCTTTATAGACTTTATTTAGTAAACAGACTTATGATTCCATGATTACAGAGTAATAGATAATATCTAACATAAGGAGGTCAGAACGACAAAACGTTGGAAACAGGGTGTGGACATTGTAGATTCGTTTTCATAGTCTCCCAAAATACTTTAATAGTTTTATTTCTAGTTAAGTTTAATAGTTCATTTAAAATAAGAAATGAAAGCCGGAATGTCAATATTTGGGAACAAAATGGGGATAAGAATGAACAAAAGGGTCAATTAGCCCTGAAGAGAGATTTTAATTCTGAGTGTTAATGGTTAATGAGAAGATTACTTACTTACTTACTATCTGTTGGGATGAATGCCAACAAAAGGTCTGAACCAACAGTTGTTACAAGGCTGAATATTTTTCTTTATTCAAATAAAACCCAAAATACTATGTTATACTTTTGAAGCCAAAAAGTGGCTAAACACAACTTCAGTCAGCCTGGTTTTCAGCATCTAGCTGAAACTGCAGGGAACCTTTGGGATCCTAACCTAAAGTGGTAATAAAAAAATAAAATAAAAAAAGGTATGATTCTGAGGCAGCTTTGCTCTTACCTTCAAACTCTCCTCTGGAGCCAAACGGATCTCTGTAGCTCTCTATGAATCCTATATAACTGTGAAAGAAAATAATCCAGAAAGGAGCAGGAAAGGATGAGGAGCAGAGGGAGACAAACGTTAAAAATGTCATTAAAGAAAGTAGCGCAAACTCTATTTAGAGCAAAGGTTGGTGTTTGTAATGAAAACCCAACAAAATAATCTTCAAACGTGTTCTATGAGGAAGTCAAAGTTAATGAAAGCTATCAGCTTTTCAGGGGTTCGTAGGGCTAACTGTGTGCTGTGTTTTCACCTCTCAACAATCGGGCCTTTATCTTTGATCCAAAACCGTGAGCCTTCTTTGTGGGCTTGAATGGAACCAAATTCAAAACTGCGTTGGTACTCTTCCAGCATCTTTCTCTGGTTGTCATTGGCTGCATAAGCCTGTTTAACAAAGTGCAGACAACAGAATGAAGAAAATTGAAAGAAAAAAACAAAAACACTTGAAGGCATCAAAATCAGTTAGATGCTCACACCGTCCTTGTAAATCAAAGTAGTCAACTGGATCTTTCTGTTTATCCCAAAGCTGCTGCTTCAAACAAAGGATTTAATACTTTAAAGCCAAAATATTCACCTAGCTTGGTATTTATTACATTAGTTAATTTGGCTTTTTATTGTTATATAATTGCATTAATCTCTGCTTAAAACAAAAAATCCTAAATTATCATTATGTTAAAAAAAAAATTCAAGCTGTAATCATAAATCGGATGCATCTAAAACGGAGTTTATAAATCTATACCTCAGAAAATTAAAAAATAAATCCACATTAAACAGTTTTAAAATGTAAGCTCTGTCTAGTTGAATAATAATCTGCTTTTCCACATGAGCTGCTCCTTTTCATTAATTGAAAAATGATCAGAAGTTAATGTGATTATTTCTCATACTTCATGCAAAGAAGAAGAAACAATGTGTTCAATCATTTATGAAGCAAGAATGAAATAATCTCACTATTTGAAGTCCTACAGCGATGAACAGATAATTTGGGATCTAAGATTGGATCTAGTTTTCTATTAAGTAAAATAAAAAAGGGCAGTCCTTTCTCTCACCTGAGCTTGTTGGAGGTAATGACAGACTTTTTCCATAAGAGGACTGTAGTCTCCCCTCTTAACAATAAATTCTTTGTCTTCAAAGCTGAAGCTGCCACAGGACGACTCACATTCCCCGTCCTCTGCAGAGTCTGCAAAGTAATAACAAATTCACCCTCTTCGTTATTACATAAATCACACAATTTGTTCTTAATCTTAATGAGGGTTCTCAGTCCGATTGATCGTAATATTCATTTAAAAAGTTTACTTTTAAACAGCTCTGACCTTTCTGAATGGCTGAAGCCAGGCGCACCTCATAACAGGGTTTCCCTCCATTGTCTCTCTTGAACAGACGTGTGTTGTAAGCAGAAAGTTTCTGGAAACAATCCAAAGTTGATCAGATAAGATGGTTACTGAAATTAAGCATCATTATCTGCTATTTTTTAATGTTTAGATTATCAGTTGTGTAAAAGTTACAATAAGACCAACAAAAAAGTTTTGACTGATTATGTTTTTAGATGCTGCTGTCCCAGATTCTGGTTGGTTTTATTCTATATGTTGATCTGTACTAATAGAGGGAGAGAAAACCTCAGTACTCTGTTATTAGGATTTTTATATGAGATTTGTTTGTGTCATTTAATATAAAATGTTGGGCTAAAACATTTCATATGATCAAAAAAAGTTGGAAAAGAAAAGGTATTGTAATTTTCCACATTACTTAAAAGTGTAAAAATGCTTTAGATTGTAGGGTACAGCAGCAGGAACAGAGCAGAATGATGGTTGAAAAATGTTTTGCTCACCTTTGAATCTAAAAACCTCTGAGCCAGTTCAGCGTCCTCCAGACAGCAGTTTCCTGAGAAGTATGTTGTTATCCCCTAAACAGAGTGAAAAAAAAATACAAAATCATCTCTCTATAAGACAAAAGTTAGTCGGCTGTTTTCTGTTGCAGCTGTAAAAACAGAAAAAGCAATAGCTTTGTTAAATCAGAACAAGCCTAAGAAAGTCAGTCATTACAGCAAAAGCACAAGAGCAATATCTTTCAAACAGAAACAGATGACAAATATGAAAATATGTCACAAGGAATCAGCAGAGTTTTTATTTAAACAGACTAAAATTTATCAGATCTTCACAGTTTGAAGAACAGAAAACAACTTCTCCTGTTAAATGACCTCTGACCTTATCGCCCAGCCCCAGCTGTTTCTGTCGGTCTTCCAGGGAATAAATCAGACCTGAGGTGTTGCTCCACAGAGCCTCCATCTCAGTGGGACTCTCCTGAAACGCTTGGCTGGCCCTCACCAGAGCTTCCAGCTTGTCCTAGATATCATTGAACAGATGTGCACAACCCAGATAAGAATTAAACTCACAAGCTTCTCTAAAATATTAAAAAGTAGATCAACTACATTTACGAAGGACACTTTTTGTTGTAAATGTAGTTTACCTTTGGTAGATTGGGGACGAACTTGGTGTCTCCAAAAGACTTGTAGTTGCCCATGTTTGCATACAGACCAGCAGCGTAGACCAAGAAGGCCTAAAGAAAATATGCAGAAAAATCCTGTTTGGTAAAAAAGGCGGAAGTTTATGATGACGGTACTGAAAACAACTATCAAACATGTACCTGGTATTCCTCAGAGCTGAGACCAGCTGCTTTAGCGACCTGCTCCAGCTGTTCTGGAGTCTGCTTCCTAAAGATTCTCTGCAGCAGGACGAAGATGTTTGCAGACTCTGGAGATGTCTGCAGGAGCACCACCAGGCCACCATACCTAAGAAAAACAGTTCAACAACAGATACGGATTAATCGCCAAAGCTGCAATGTAAGGCTGAATTAACTAATCAGATGCATCAATTATTAAGATGATCACTCATTTAGAAATTTAATTAGCAATAATTGGAGTATATGGACTCTAAAACCAGCCATTTGCCATGGGTATTTAAGATAAACAACCTTTTTATTTATTTCATTTAAAGGATTTTTTCAAAGTCACAGTTTTACCATCACCTTGTTCAAGTTCTCTTTGTATGATATCCACTTATTGTCAACAGATTAGCCAACCAATCGTTAGTTGCAGGCTTACTAAAATTGTTCCTCAACTCAAATCTGGCTATATTCCAGTAGCATTCTTCATTGACCATTAATCTTTTGTCAGTCTATCCTGTATGGTTACACCCAGAGGTGTGTAACTTACCAAGCAGCCCGGGACAGATAGTGGGCATACATTTTCTCCTGAGGTGACAACAGACGAAATGCCTCACGGCAGTCGAGGGCTGAGATCCCAATGTCATTGGGAAGGTAGTACTGAGAGTCCACCATCTTTGTTCTGAGAGCGCAAATAATGCTGATAAGGTACTGCAAAAAAGAAGAAGAAGAAAAAAAAAAGGCAGAAAAAAAAAAGAAGAGCAAAAAAAGAAGAGCA